CCCGGGGCTTTTATAGATAGCCAAATTGCCTCGGAAGTACACGCAAAGTTATCTGTTTTATCTGAGACTATAAGCCCATGTTTTACATACGTGAGTACGCCTCCTCCCTGACGTTCTCTCCTGTCTCTTCTAAACTGCCGGTGTCCTGGTATAGTTAAATCACGATTGTCCATCTGTGAATTCAACCAAGTTTCTGCAAGTTAGATTACATCCGGGGATGTATCTTTAAGTCGTCTAGGACTTCCGATAACATGCTGTACTCGACGTAAGACATAATGGTGATTGCTTTTGGTACACAGGTTGTTATGCCCCAACCGACGTCAATGGTTAGACCTAATGAACCCACGGTAACTGTCAATGGCAATGAACCCACTTAGGTAGACCAATACTCCTTCCTAGGAAACAGAGTCTCTCTGACCACTAAGCTGAACGAGTATGCCTCTGTCCGGACATCTAGACCTGGCCAGACAATTGCCAATTTACAGATCGAACTAGAAACTCGGGGAAATGTGACACAACATCAAGTCATTCTGACCAATTGCAAACGCCTGATGTCCTTGTCGCGTAAACATCTGTCGTGAAGTTTTCGTCCTCAATACGTCCGGGGAATGACATCTACCACTAACAACCTGGTTCTATTTACTAGAGGCACACTTTCCTGACAGGAGTGGAATGTACCACAATTATAAAATCGCAAGCAAACATGGAACATCAGTCAAGGACAACTATAGACAACTAACTTGTGGTCACATTACGCAAACAATTCGATTAACTAGATCTGTCGCGTAGCCACCAATCAATTGGAATCTTCCAAGAAAAAAACCAACGACAATGCAGCCTGTATGTAAGAACCTACTGTGGAGTGAAGACAAACGAGCTAATCTGTGAATCGGTCCAAATGCATTTTGGGAGGCCAGCACATTCTGCCGTCATCCGGTGATAGCTCAGCTGGTAGAGCGGAGGACTATAGTTGTGAAGCAGTGATCCTTAGGTCGGTGGTTCAAATCCGCCTCAACGGAGTTAGTTTTGGTTGACTTTTGCATCACGGCTGGCATTTATGATGCTGGTGTCCATTTACCAGTTGACTCTGCGAGGCTGACAGCCAACCTGCGATGCGATTCGTTGCGTTTGAAGTTCACATTGACGAGGGCGAACTTACTTGTACAGTGCCCGTAAGCTAAATTATTTTTAATTGACTTTGTCGGCTTACCGTTTATATTTTAGCATCCAGTCAGCTAAGGTTGGTTCTCCCACTGAACAAAGACGTGGCCCATAGTGGAGGTCGGCAGCCGCCTGGGACAACTGAGCAACCCTATTTAGGGAGAGCACTGCTAACCCCCGAGAGTGGGAAGGGGCTATAAAAGGTGCCCTAACCAAATGCTGGGGACACAGGCCGTCTGCAGGCTGACAGCAGTCTCAGACGCAAAATTCACGGTCGGGACGCCCAAATTAGAAGCAACATTACCATCTCCCACTCTTTCTCCTACTCCTCCTCCAACTCTCTGCCCCCCCCCCCCCGACTCGCCAGACTGTTAGGGTGAGTCCGCTCACGCTGGCAGCCTGAAATGTTCGTTCCCTTTTAGACAATCCGAGGAGCAACCGACCGGAAAGCAAGACAGCGCTAGTGGCCCCCGAACTGGCGCGCTATAAGCTGGACATCGCTACACATAGTGAGAGCCGGTTCTCCGAACAAGGACAACAGGAGGAGTTCGGTGCCGGCTACACCTTCTTCGGGAGCTGTCGCCCCAGGGCAGAGCGAGGTGACGCGGGAGTCGCCTTTGCCATCCGGAAAGACATCATGGGACGACTGCCCTGTTTGCCGCAGGGAATCAACGATCGCCTGATGAGCCTCCGTCTGCCTCTCCTGCGGGGGGGGGGCAAATTCAACACCATCATCAGCGCCTACGCTCCCC